CAAAGTATATGTTTGTTTGTTTGTTTGTTTGTTTGTTTGTTTGTTTTTTGCCTGTTTTTTTGTTTTGTTTAGTTGGTACGGTCTCCACTCGGTGAATTGGTGGCAATTTTGGTTAAAATGACCCTTTGGTTTTCCTATAAATAGCATGGCAAGTGGTCTGAAAATGAGGGTCTCCGTTGATCTGCTCTCGGGTTTAGATTGAACATAACCTGCTTGGAACATGCCACACAGGCCAGGGCAGTCCTATGGCTTAGGGTTTAGAGAGCAGGCTATGTCCCATCCGCCGACCGTGTTCCCCTTCTGCACACCATTCGGGAACCGACCCTGCCCCGGCCGTCGTCCTACAGTTGACGCGAGATCGGTTTGTCTGTGGAGTGCGTCGACGTGGTCGATCCTTGGTGTCGTCTCGCTTCGGCCAATGTCTTTCTTGCTGTCTTTGTTGGCTCTCTCAGTTTTATATCAGCCTTCTTTTCTTTGGGTTTGAGAAGCTCTTGCCCAGCCGAGGTTAACGGACCCGGAGGCGGGCAGGCTCTGAAACCGTTCCCAGCTGTTTTTTCCCAAGTTTGCCTGAGCCTAATTCTCCTTTGAGGCTTTGAATAAAGTTCCCTGTAATTTCCTCTTTCTTTTCTGGGTTATTCTTTTATCTCCCTCGTTATTCTTGGCCCAGTCCGCCGCCGTGCAGTACGCAGTTTTCAACTTTCCAGTTCTTTAACTTCTTTTATGAATCCAGTCCACGCTTGTCTATCTGGGACACTCTCATTTTGCTGATTTATTGTTGGCATCTCCATGCCAGGAGGATCTATAGCAGTATTTTGTTGAGGTTTGCCGGGAGGTTCTACCATCCTCTCGGGGTATCGACGAGTTTTCTCTCTTTTTTTTTTTTTTTTTTGTTTTCCCTTTGTTTGTATCGAAAACATTTAGACCATTTTGCGATTTATGCGTGTGCGAATCTACCCTTCTCTGTATGTTTCCAATTTGAACGGATGTCCTGACGGATGGTATCAATGTGAACTTTTTTTGCTGCACCCGTGTGGGTTTGGTACCCACTCTGTTCTTCATGTCATAACTGCTGGACTTGCTACGCCCCTTTTTCTACCCATCTGGCCCATCTGGTGTCTCTGTTCCTACTTAGGGTCCTAGGGCTTGCCTTGGTGGTCTTCAATCCCCAAGTTGTAAAACACTGGTTGCCTTAGCACTTCCTCCCTATGCTTTGGTTGCCACACCCTACTAGCAGGCAGTAGGAAGATTTCCCCCAACCTGTAATCAATTCGTGCCAACAGGGATTAAAAGAAAAAAAACAAAAATAAAACATCCCGACAGTAGGAGGTTGAGTTGTTCAGGTGGGATTGTACACCTCCTTGTTCTGCCAATACTATGAAAGCATCTCACGAGTCGATCACAAGAATCGAACGTGCGACCTCCCTCTTGGGAGGCAAACACTCGACCAAACGGCTAAGTGGACTGGGGTGAAAGTTAAGCCCCAAGATGAGCACTTAACCCCACCCCAGCATGGATTTCTCCGCGACCCGGTGTACCCAGTCACACACACTCCAATCTATTCGTGGGGAGCGTCACGTGCTGAGAACTGGGTCCAGCGTCCCTTTGAAGTACACCTGAGATTATGGGACGTATTCGAAGTTCCAGGGCCATTACCCGGCTTCGACTAATAAGAGAACAATCAGTCGATTGAGCTCTTGAGGATAGTTTTGCTATAGGATCTAGAACTGACTTGCCAGCAGCGCGCTGATTCTTTGCAGCCCTTTGGGTAGGACCTTAATTTGGTGGTCCATTTTTTGTCTTTGGGGAGGGCCTTAATTTGCAGTTTTGGGTCTAAAGATCCCCAGCCGCCGGGTTCTTTTACAGAGCACCAGGAATTTCGGGTCCATGTTTTGTTTTTGGAGGGCCTTAATTTGCAGTTGCGGGCTAGGCTACCACCCGGGCCGCCCGGGTCCCGGGTGGCCAGCCCGTGCAAGGACCAGGGAAGGTCCAAGCAAAAAAAAAAAAAAAAAAAAAAAAAAAAAAAAAAAAAAAAAACTGAAGAAAGTATGTTATGCAGAAAAATAAACTAAACAACTTTTGCCTCAGGGTTACAACGAAATTCTTCACCAAATTTAGAATAAAAAACAATATTTAAAATTTTTATTTTTATTTATTTTTTAATCTATTTTTTTGGCCCGGCCGGGCAAGTGAGCCCGGGCCACTCTGGTAGTCTAGGTTGCGGGTCTATATGACTCTATACATCCCCAGCCTCCTGTATTCTTCGGATCTAAACAGCCTTCGGAGGTATTAAAAGTTTGTTTAGAGGGGTCGCCTGTCCACACATATGCTGGTGCCTTCTTCCTCAGGTCTGTTTTCAGTTTGGTTTCAGGGCTCGAGATTGTTGGTTCCATACACACGCTGTTGCTGTCTTCCGTAGGTCTGTTTACAACTTTTTTTTTCACATAGAAAAGGAAAATTATATCTAATTGATGTACAACTTAATTAAAGAAATAGTTAGAAAAGAGTATTTTAGAAAAGAGTATTGCAAGTACAAAAGTAAGCAATAAGCCCCAGAAAAGACTAGTACGATTTAGTTCAACAATCTGCTTATTTGGATTAGGTTGTGTCATAATTTTGTTCCCCAAAAGGTAAGTTATCGTTGGATAAATTGCATTGCTGAAATAGAACCCAAGAAAAAGACTGGGGGGGGTGGGTTATTAATAGCCGGGGGGGGGGGGGGGGGGGGGGGGGGGGGGGGGGGGGGGGTGATAAGAGCACCCTCCCCTAGTGCGCGATCCGGTTGCTCCACCAGCTTGTTGAAAGGTGCCCCTGTATTGAGAAGATGGATGCCTTGAAATAGGCATAACTGTGGAAGTACCCTACCATGTGTCCAGTTTGTGCAGCATTTTGGTCATCCGTTCTGGTGCCATTGAGTGGGATGGCCCCTTGTTGAAGACCGAGAATGGTGCCATTCCTTGTGGTGTGCCGGATGGGATCAGGACGTCCATTGCTTTCAGCCACCACCTATATTACCGGAGTGGTCTGGGACCACTTGCCCGGCAGGGCCAAAAATGAATATTTTTTTAAAGTAATGAAAGCCGTTACTAGGGGCCATGCTGTGCCTCTAGTACCAGCGGCGTGTCTGGAGTGTATTTTTTGGCTGTGACAGACCTTTCTTTGTTTCGTGGATGTTTTGCTGGCTTGCGATGGGGTGTGAACCGACAGTCTGTAGAGTTTTCC